GTTCCTTTTCGGAACATCAACCGTTTCATTGGTGTGTTTGGTTGATAACATAATAACGTTCCTTTTATCCTTCCAATTGAGAACGGTAATTCCTTTGATATTCTCTTTCGAAATTATTTCACCCCTTTTCATTTTACTTTTTTGAGTTACTTCTTTCGGCACATTTTTTTATTTCTCCTCAATGTTCCCACTAAATGAGTTTTTTTATCGAGAAGCTTGTTAGCAAGATCGATGCTAGTGTACCAGTTATCTGTGTAAACCGTACGGCCAACATTCAAAACAGATTCACATAGTTCCATAACCACGCTAGTTGGTGTTGTTTTTCGTACTTCAAGATTTTTCCCAGCATATATTTTCAGACGTAAAGTATATCCATGTCCTGTACAAAGCTTGAACAATTTGATACCATATTTATGCCGCTTTTGTTTCATGTACTGACGCATAATCAGCCTGCCCCGAAAAGGAATTAACGACTCGTCAACACACACTGATTCCCCAGGATGATAAAGAGCCTCAAAATTCTGCACAAGCTTATCGACTAGGCCTTGAATTTTATATAGTCGATCCCCTTCTCTGCATTCATCATTGTTGCCAAAATGAATCATACGTAGCAGTATTTCAAACCGATTCCGAAGCATCACAATGGATGCAAACTCGGTTTTGAAAATGGGATATCTGCTCCAATAATCTTTGATATATGGCATTTTCACCAATCCCATATAAGCAATTAGTCCAAAGAAACGTTTTATTTCCGCAGAACTTGTAGGGTCCCATTGGTGAAGTCGTGACGAGGCAGAAATATTAGAATGATTTTCTAACTGCTGAGTAGCATAAATGTTGGTTTGGTCTGCAATCATTTGGAAAATGGAATCTTCAACCACTGCCATGTAAAAATCTTTCGGATGACCTTGTACTAATTCTTCAATCACCTTTGGACTTACCCCAAAATACTCCCGAAACTCGCTAAATTGCATCTGTTGGCCGCGGGGTAAGTACCAGGTGTCATTATTTTCATCGTTTACCTGCGTATTTGCTTCACCAAAATCATCCTCTGAAGTGCTAGGATTGTTGGAATAAGTCATTATTGCCGAGGCCTTTTTACGATTCTGCTGTGCATCATCTCGTGAAGATTGACTGGATGACGATTCACCTGAAATAAATCATTTTTATATTCTTGTATATCTACCTATAATTCATGCTTTAGTATATTATTATTTATATAATTTTTATATTACCTTCTGAGCTAGGTTGAAAATCTTTATCTCTGACCGAGTCGTCTGTGTCTTCATCAGACATATCACGCAGGATCATCATTTCTGCTTCTGTAAGTTTATTTTCATTACGAATAAATGAATACTTTCCGTTTGACATCTCGTGAATAGGAAATAAAATTGTGAAGCCAATAAGACGTGCAGTACACCCGACAGCTAATAATCAACTGCGCAAACTCGCCTCTCTGCCGGCTAACCCTATTCTTCCGACCGCGTGTAAAATTAAAGGTTAGGTGACCGAAGTAGTGACCACTGACATGTTAAAGGTTATGGACCCGCCCGTACCTATCCTTGTACGTACAGCTGCTTGCAGCCAACGTTAGAAAGAAACATCCGAGAGAGAGACGGAGCTAACGCGGGCAAAAAGCCGCGCGCTTAACAGGATTTGGATGGTTTTAAAGTTATGATATCTTTATAAAAATAGATTTAGGCAAAGGGAATGGGATTCTTATACGTCTACTCGATAAAAAAACGATAATATATATAATATTAATTTTTATTCACGTACTTACAAAACAAAAACCTTAATCTACAGAATACAGTATGAAAAATTCTTAATGATAATTATTGATATTACAAAAAGTTATTCTATATAAAAAAAAAGAATTATTGATGGCTAAAGGTGATAGTTTTGGTCAGATGTTGCCTTATTCTATAGCGCGGTTCATTTTTTGTAGTGTTGATGTGGTGTATTCTAATTGAAAAGTAATTTTTTAATATAAGCCTAATTAATTGCAGGCGATGGCTCTGTAATGGATCCTGATCCTGGAAATGACTTTTCAAGCCAACGAATAGTGTGTCGAAATTGAGTTTCCTTATCGACAAAGATATCAATTTTAGCATAAGGTTTAGAGCAGAAAAGTTTGATTCTGATTTGATTAAGCCTTCTGCACATATGCACACTTTCACAACATCTCTGGATGGCTTACAGAGACCTCCTCGATTTTTTTTATTTAAAAGCAGCGACAAAGAATTGTCCGAAGTTAAAGCATTAGCACATTCATTACAATTTAATGCTTTAACTAATTTCTTGCTGATAAACCCAGCAATATACTCAACAATGTCACAAATATATGTGCAGTTGGCAATTGTGTTATAGTTTTTAATGAATAACTCATCTTCCGCATCTGAAGATTCTGTCTGTTCATATAATAAGTCAGTAGTAAAAATTGAGTTATTTTTGCTTTCAATGGTAACATTTAAAATCGAGGTATTGTCCTGTGCCAGACAATTTGCACTATCTGAGGTAGTTATTTCACTATGAATTAAGAGTCTTTTATATGCATTTTCGAAATGCCAGGCAGTCGGGTTGTTCGAAAAGCCTCCCCTTGAACGGATTGCTGAAAAAAACATTTCAAGATTATCTTGACTTAGCTTATAAGTTAATAAAAACTGTAACTTATCACCCTCAACCACATCTTCAAATAAATTCCTAACACTTAACAAACAAACAATGAGTCCTATAAAACCAGTTTTCCTGCCTGTTTCTATTACTTTATCGTGCTTTTGATCTGTCAATGAACTTAAATATTCTACAGATTCTTTGATAAAATTTTTGAAGGTTTCGCTGTTTCCCTTGAAAAGAGGCCTTTTACAAGGAGTTTTCCCATAGAAATTTCTAACATTTAAAACGTCAAAAATATTGTTTATTTTTCGACAGAAAGAAACAGTTGCTTCACTACCTCTAAATTTTGTAATATTCAAGTCCTGATTACAGTATTCTAGGGCATCACCAACACTAGCACTAAAGGTCTGGACAGCAAGCTTCACTTTCATTTTTTCTTTGTAATAGTTAATATGTCGAGACCTTAGTCTAGTGGCACAATGAAGCCCTGATTCTTCTTGCAGCTTCACCAGTTCTTTAAAATAATACCATTTAATGGAGTCTCCATTTCCATCACATAATATGCCCCAATCACCCAAAGTATTACGTACTAATTTAATCATGTGGCATGCGTCCAAAATGATATGTACTTTTTCCTTATTCACTGGGTTTATGAAATATGGTTTCATTCCAGGAAAACTGAGCTTTGCTCCCAGCAAATTTGCCATCGAAATGTTGGATGCACACGCATCAAATGTGATACTTTTAATCAGCACCCCAGTTGTTTCCAACTGAAGGAAAGACCCTTTAATTAACATTGCCTTTTCTTCAGCAGATAAAGCATCTACTAAAAAATAGGCAATGGGAACCTTCCACCTTGTATTGTAACCTACAAGCATTATCACAAATACATGTTTTGCATGTGGTAATTGGTCACTGTTCTGCATACCAGTTCCATAATCAATGTATCCAACATTCCTACTACCAGTCCAATGTACATGCTCACGAATGGACATCTCGTCAATCACAAGACCTGCTATAAGTTGCTTTCCTTTGCCTTTTTCAATGTCAACTTTCATTTTGATGATGACCAAAGTTTCTGTTATTTAATTCTGTAATCTTTGCCATAACCACTGGCCATAACCTACCTCAGAAATTTTAATTTCACCCCTGTTTCTCTTCTGGTCGTACAGTTTATAGCACAACAAGACTGCACCATCTTGTAATTGGTTTGAAGTTGTGAAAAATCAACAATTAAAACTAATTTCAAGGCAAAAATATGAGTAAAGCTTTCCACAGTGAAAGAAACACATGCACAATACAGATCTAACGTACGACGTTTGCCCGCGTTAGCTCTATCCTTCACGTGCTGTCTCTCTTGCACTGCGCCGGCGTCAATTCCAAACGCGAACGGCAGGTCCATAACCTTTGATATGTCGATGGTAGTGACCGACGCGGCGCAGAGATACCAAATTAACCTTGCACGCCGCGTCGGTCATTTTGACCGAAAGCTCTAAAAATGGTATCATTATCACTATAGATAATATCGATGGTGTAGCGCACAAATGTGATAAGACCGAAATGTCACTTTTGCGCTATACAATAAAATAGCTTTGACTCAAAAGTAAAATTGATTAGCGGCTTATTACTAAATAAATGAACTTCAAAGTTGACAATTTGAACATTACTCTGTAAATTACATACCTTTTAATCAGGGTAGGAAAAGCGTTAAACAATTTTTGAAAAAATAAAGATTTATTTGTCATCACTTAACACATTTGTATCATATTGCACTGTAACTTAACACCTACTTTTCTTATTGATTATACTAACTGAAATATTCATTACAAACTTGGCCCACCAATGGCAGAGATAACAATAAAATAAACAGTTACATAAGGGAGTCAGTCAACAATTTCCAATTTCTCGGTGAATGTATGAAGTTTATTGATCATCTTCAGACTGGGAATGTAGCATAAGCTTTGAAAGATCCGAAGTTGAAGGCAAGTTGTTAATAAAGTCTGCGTAATCCAATGGGATGGTTTCGTGATTAAGGAGATACAAGAGATCAGACTTTTTTTTCTCTGAAATAGGAAGACGGGTAGCATATTTTCTTTTTAATTACACTGAATCCCATGACCGTTTGCGGCCTGATCTTCGTTTATTCGCAGACACGTCGATTTCATAAAAAAAGTCCGCTGATAGGTCATATTTATACTGGATTATATTTGGGCTGCGCTTTTCAAAACGCAACCATTTAATACGGATCCAAGATACCTTTTCGCCATTATTGTTCAACGAGGTATTATTAACAATGCATTCTACAAGTTGTTGTAGGTCGAGAAAGTCACAATATTGCATGTTATTTACGTGGTATGGTCGTGGCCTGAGTCTACTAGCAGATATTAGTAGACACCATTCACGTGTAGTATAAATTTTTTATGTCTCCTTGCTCTTTCTATAGTGGCATGCATGGAGTCGGCCTCTAAATAGGAATGTCCGGACTCCATGAACTTTAGATCGATGGTTTTCAAATTAGTCAGCTTATTAACTGAGTATAGCATTGCAGCGCTAACGAACTTATTGCGGTTTTGACCACCACAGGTGTCTGAAAATGTAGCTACGTGTTCAACAGTTTGAGGTAAACTTTGCAAATACTTATAAAGACAAGTTCCAATTTCCGAGCTCCCCTTGCTGCCGTGTGTTTCATCCCATACGTAACAAATACCATCCTTGTTCGAGCAATCATAGATTGTGAAGTTGTATACATTGAGGTGAGATTTATAATATACTTGACTATCACCTGCAAAGGGAATGGGCAAAATGGCTTGCAAATCAAAAGAGATTGCTCTGAACTCTCTTCCCTTGTTTTCAACTGCACGTTTTTTATCATTCTCTTTCATTTCTAGTGACTCCTTCTCTCGACGTTTATGGTTTTCGAAGTTGACACGTGAAGGTTCTTTGTTTTGCGATGCCTTGAAAACATTGCATACAGTACATTGGTCTTTTTTTGGCTTATAAAAAGAAAGCGGTGGGTCATGTTCATGAAATATACTTTGATACACGAACCTAGATACAGGACTCATATCATTTTCTTCGCAATATTCCTGATATAGGCGATACATTATGGAAATGTTCAGTTCTGGTGAGAGGTACTCTTTTTTTGAGTCTCGTCTACAATAGTGAGACTCGATTTTTGGAAAAGAATCGATGTGACTCATTACTTGCTGCTTAATTGCAATGGGAGTTATGTTATGAGGCTTGGAGTCTATCCGTTTATCATGGCCGATAAAAAGGCCAGTGCTGCTCATAGATTTATTTATTGTCTCTATTACTCGATGTGAAATAGCAAAAGTAGCACAAAAGAATTTTTGGCATACTCTATGCTTAACACCCTTTGTGTTTTTCAAATTGTATATTCTAGAAGTGGCACGGTTTTTAGTCAGTGGAGTGCATTTTTTTCTGCTTACTGGTACATTCTCCATTAAAGAACTTAAATATATTTTCTGCCTAGTGTAGTCTGCTAATTGATAATACTCTTTACATAATATTTGACATTCATCCTGCGAAAGAAAGTTGCTGCATTTATAGCGACATTTAGAACAGTCTACTATTTTTGGAAGTTTTACTGGTACTGTCTTACCAGCTCGATTTACATATTTTTCGCCACTTAATCTCAAAGTCTTCACAACAGACCTTTTCCAGAGTTGAGGGTCGGCTTTTCTTTTTCGTTGCTTTTTAGAGGGTTGATATGTTACCTCGTCTGGTTTGCTATCAGATTCACTAGCTTGATTGGAAGGAGTATAAGAGCTGTCAGATGGAACAAATGGTTCAGGGTCATTGTCGGTACTCATGGTGGTTGGTGAAGGACTACAGTTCATTATATTTTCTGAAATATACAGTAAAACATTAGTAACAAACGTGAGCAATATATTGTCAAGTAATACCTATTACTGGTGCGTCCAACTGGGAATCTGTGAAAATAGCTTCTTCCGTATTTAGTCCACAGCAACGGTCCTGAATAACATCAGTTTCGGTAGTTGGGGGTACGGCGATTGCAGCAGTCCTCAAATTCAGCTCATCTATAAGTAAAATATACTGAACTATCTTAAAAATCTGATTCATTCAGTATTATCTATCCATACCCTGTATAATTTCAAATTCCGTATTATTTCCTCCACTACGTGATTCAAAAACAGCGTCGATTGGTACAGATGGAAGCACTTCTACTTCAGAATACCTCAAAACCTCCCTATCTGCAAGCAAATGAAAGTTTCAAAAAAAAAGGTCTACCTGTTTCATGTTATACGTACCCTGTATACTTTTTGTACAGACTTGCTCCTTCAGAGCCAGTTGTAGAATTAGTGCAGATCGAGACGCCATGGCCTTTTCGCAGCATACACTTGTATCACGCACACACTAGTATCACGACCAGACCAGCTAAAATTCTAACCTCAAACTTCAGCCTACGAGAAATGTGTGAATCACAGATGTGGCAATTACCTTTAACACCATCTTGTGGATGTAGGTTACTAAGTACAAATGTGTTAAGTACATTTAAGACGTTTGCGATAGAAATCTACATTTCAAAGTTACTTATACCTACTGGCAGGTGGCGCTAGAAGCATCATAAATATATTAATCAACTACCACACTTGTGCATGCGATGCTTCGTCCCTTGAGTAATATGCTGCTGTAGATAAGTCAATTTCAATGAAAAATCACTTACAACATTTGTGCACTACCCCATCGATATACAGTGTTAAAACATATTTATTTTATTCTAATACATCAATAAGGGGGTGAAAAGATCTTTTGGCGCATGGTGAACAAATCGTTCATAGCACGTTGGCAGGGAACGTGCTAAAGACAAACCAAGTCATACAAAATTAACAGAGGATAAAAGTTATTGCATATTGTTCATATCAGCATCTATCATTGCTCCGACTAGTGGATCACTATAAAGTGGATAGCGTCGTATGATGCATTTGATGGTTGTCCAACAACTGTTTGAACTGGCTGCCGAGAAACTGTTTCTGCGGGCCGATCAGATATTGGGACAGGTCCTGGGAATTAATCACTTGGTACACTGGATCCTGGTGATGTCAGCGATATGTAGGACGTTGGCGACGATGTTATTATATGAGGAAAACGCAGATGTGTTTCGGGCATATATAGCTTTTTTTCGGTATCGGGAAAGTCCTTGTTGGATTTCATCTTTGGGGTCTATGAAATCGAATAATGGGAGCTGTCTCAGTTGAATAGCGACATGGTTTCCAATAACATAACACAACATTCAGTTGATTAAGCTCATTAATAGCTGCTGCAATTCCACTCGTTTCTTGGGTAATGTTATGCTTTATTTTATTTTTAACTTGAACTGGATTTTTATTTTTGATCAAGGAGCTGTCGCTGGAGTCGATTGATTTATTATCAGTTTTATCATCAATGTCCTGACTAACATCATCTTCCAAAATTTTGGACGCCGACGGTGTATCTTTAGGCTGAAATGAAAATACTAAATTAATATTTTTTCAGGTACCAGACAAAAGGTAATGAGAAGACATACAAGTAGGATTTCACCACAGGTGGAATTTTCCAGGATGTTGTGGAGCCATCGACGGCAAACATGTGGTAATTTAAGCTCCTCCAAATTGTGGTAGTGATTACTATAATTATAAAGGAACAAACAGCTTGGTGCTCTTAGCAGTCGTGGATCATGACTACTGTTTTAAATATGTGGATGTATATGGGCGAAATTCCGACGGTGGTGTTTTCCAAGCTTCCACATTGTATCCAGTGTTGGACAATGGGTCATTACTGCCAGAAGGTGGATTCCTAGTGGGAGATGATGCTTTTCCTCTTAAGACATACTTATTGAAACGATATCCCAATGAGCCCACGATTGCCGAAAACATTTACAATTACAGATTCACTAGGGCAAGACGCATAGTAGAAAATGCATTTGGTATTTTAGTATCTCGATTCCGTGTTTTGGCAAAACCTATCCAGTTGGAAGAGGAAACCGCAATAAAAATGATTCGAACTACATGTGTACTGCACAACTGGTTGCGCAAATCTTCACTTCACACCTACACACCAACTGGTAGCATAGATTATGAAGATATTGTAAATTCCACCACGAACCTAGGAACGTGGAGATCAGAAATAAATGCGTTACCAAGTATCGCCCGTTCGCGGATCAATAACTGATCAAAGATCGCAGCTGAAAAATTGAGAGAAAAATACAAATTTTTTTTTGTAATGAGGGTGCTGTCACCTGGCAAAATTATATGATTAATAATAATTAAATGTAATGAACTATCTCAGTGGAATAAAATATCAGGTACTCACCAGAATGCTTGTTGTTTCCTTTTCTTTCAAATTAATTGTTTTCATTATACAGGGTGTCCCAGAAGTCAACGTCAAGCCGAAACCGGGTGGTAGGCAAAGTCATAACAGTTATCAGAAAAATATGTAAAAAAATTTTATGTATGTGTTTTGAAAATTATAGGTCTTTGAAAAAAATATAGAAATTTCACACCCTACGGCAGTCTGTCAACTCCTGTTACTACAAATATTAACTTTTATTGGATTTTATTTTTACAATGTAATGATGAATAATGCATCTTCAAACTGGTGTCTCAACCTTACTGCCAACTTTTCTCTTTCAGGAAAAATTGCCACTTATTTCCCAACCAAGTATTCTAAAGTGAAACTTTGCTCAACTTTAACTGGCTGTACTGGAAAAAATGTACTACGAGAGTTTGGCAAGTAACCTTAAAAGTTGGCGCATTTAATAAGGATTCCAAAATGGTATAACACTTAGAAGATTACTCGTTAACTTATGCACAATTTTTATTTGAAGAAAAACTGATGAAAATTTTTCAAAATTTCCTAATTAAACAGCGATTATGAAAACGCACAAGGACCCTTAAGGATAACTGTTTGCACAACAGTGTTAGACCTATAATTTTCAAAACACATACATAAAATTTTTTTAAATATTTTTCTGATAGCTGTTATGACTTTGCCTATCACCCGGTTTCGGCTTGACGTCGACTTCTGGGACACCCTGTATAATCCATTATATCGAACCATTTTAAGGATGACTTGTAAACATCTTCCGACCCAGATCCACTCTTTTTACTTTTTTCGATTTTCGCGCGTTCATGGTTATGTATTCCAAAGATGCTTTTCTCATATCTCTATTTTTATAATTTTTATCAAAACAATTCCATAGGTTTTCTTGTTCTCTGTAGAGATTCATGAATGTAATATTATTCTCAGAAGACCACCTTTCTGAGCCCATTTTGAATTGGGTAAACGCTTTTGGCGCAGCACACATAAAATACAGCTTCTGCTTCGTAATTGCGGGCTGACACTGGCGAGCTACTGCCGAACATGTCCGAACGATGCGAATGACGTCAGAGCTGTTGCCATATCGCTCATCCGGAAGAATAGTGTCATAAGTCAAAAAACTACAATGTTGGGAAAATGCGATTGAAAATTTTTATCATCACATTATTGCTGAGGCTCCCCAGCGATAAATGGTACAGGCATAGAATTAGAGATCTAGAATGTTATACTCAAACTCTTTCAATTGTCCCTAAGAACACCTACCGATAAAAGATAGAATCCTTCCCAAAACTAAAAATTTAAACTAATTCGCAAATATGACATTATTCTTCCGAAATGTTTATAGTTTTTGGTGAGATATAAAATATGGAAAAAGATGAACTCCAAATCATATTTTATTATAATGCAACATATCAAACAGAAATGATCAATAAACGTTATTATATATGTAGTGCTTCAAAAAACGGCAAGTAATTTTTTGGTATCGGCTTGTTCCTTCTTTTAAATAGTGCCAGTAGCCCAGTCTTCTTTTTATTTGTGACTCCGACCTTCTGGCTGCAAGCGTATTTTAATTTTACATCTCTATCTTCTCCTGCTCAAAGTTGTTGTTTGAAATTCTTCTTGCTGGCTCGTTTTATACAATACTGTGCTTGGAGCATCTTTTGTGATCTTAAGCACTTTCAATTCGGATATTTTCATTGTATCTCCATTGGCATTTTTCTTAGGATAGCAGTTGAATTCAATATCAGATGCCAATTGACTTAGATCTAAAATATCTTTATGGCACAATTCATCGACTTTATAAGGTTGACCTGACTTTTTGGCACTTCTTATCAGGGTAACGTACTGATCTGGAAAATATATTGGTCCAGATCGCTTGGTCCTTTTTACTTGACGCTCCATCAGAGAATGGGCACTGTCTCCCTCATTCTGGGTATGGCCTGCAATGAGGTACTTGTGAGTTATGCTTTCCAACCATTCAAAATGCTGAACAGCATACGTGTTGTTGACCGCCACAGTTGTCGTAAAAAAATATATTTCTTTTCCTTTCATTTTCTTGAATGCTCTCCAAATATCTTAATAATGTCCCTATTTCATTCACGCCTCTTTGAGCTTTTCCTTCATGCCACACGTAACACTGCACATTCATAGTTTTTATATCACATACGGTCAGATTGAAGACATTGAGCTTTGAAACATAGTAAAATGAATTTACTTCTCCTGAAGGACAAGGTAGGACGGCCTGGAGATGATAGACGGCAACTCTATCACTGTCAGAGTGTTTGTCATGTTCCTTTTCTTTCCTTGATAATTCTGTTTCAAGTCGATGTGTGTCATATTCTTGTTTCAACTTGATCTTCTCGTCTTCAGAGGCATTCAGGTAACCAACACTAACTTCACACTGGTCCTTCTTTGGAACAAAGAAGGAAATATTGAAATCTTCGTTGATTATTCTGCTATACACTACACACTATTAGTGTTTTTACGGCAGTAGTGGCTTTCAATTCGTGTAATTTTCATAATGTGTGCTCGGACACCATTCTTTATCTCTTCGTCTACTTTAGCATGATGTCCATGCGTTCCCCGTAAATCGGAAAACAACATCTGACCACTAAAAAGATTTCGTTTTGCAATTACAGTTCTTATAGGTCTGTCGGTAATGCATAACGTGGATTTAAAAAAAGTCTTGCATACACGAATCTTTTTATCCTTTATTTCGAAATGGAATGCATTATTTGGACGCCTATGACTATTTTCTCTTATGTATCTATATTTAGGGTTGACCACAGACATGCTGGCTGACATAAAAAGCCGTCGCTTTTCCAGTTCACCCAACTCCCAATAGTCCTTGAATATTTGCCTACGATTCTCTTCTGTAAATTTCTCGAAGCATCTTATTGTACATTTATTATTGCATGGAGGCAATAAACTTTTGGCTGGAATAGTCTTTTTTCCTTTTGATAAATAAGCCTGTCCAGTATTCCTTAAGGTATTCTACTCATAACTGTTTTCTTTTTCAAAACAAAAACTTCCGACTAAAATTATTATTAAGGTAGAACTCAAAACCATGAAATTAAATGAAAATAAAAACAATCAGTCAAATAACCTAATTTCGCAAAATCATAATATAAATTTGTTGTCATTATGTTCCTGACGTCGTGATTTGATCATCGAGGTACGTCCATTGATTACTTAATTACAATTTTTGGTATAACGTAAGTCATCTTTCGTGATTTTGACATCTCTTAAAATCAGTATATGCCTTGTAACATATCTTGTACCTCTGTACTATACACTTGGTTTGGATTGGATTCTGTAATAAATCAAGTATTTAAATTCAGTATTATTTTATCTTAGGCTGACTTGCTAGCACTTACTCTATGAGGCATCATTTCTTCCAACACAAATGGCTCTGGAACAGTTTCATTGCCAGTGACGCAAACCGGAGTAATTAGTTCCATAATTTTGTCTTCGACATTATCAAAATGCCCCCTGTACCAGGCTGATATTTTATCCTGTATGTTAGTCTCGGTTTTCTCAATCCATGTCTAGAACGATTATAATTTTTTTACGCCAGTACCAAGCAAATGCAAAATGCATTGTTTATTATTATAATTAGACAGAGATATAATATAATAATTTTCGCCATTGCACCCAGTCTTTACTAGCTCCATTAGGCAACGCATTTAATTTGTTTGCCATTTCAGTCCATAACGCCTTGGACTGGGCACGGGTATATGCTGGCGTGAATTTTCCCTGGTGCATTTGCGGGTGCTCGCGGAGAAACTCAATCATTTTCTCCTTTTGCTCATTTGTAAGGTGTTTTTTAGACGTTTTCGACTCCATAGATAAAATCACAGATAAAATAATGAGGAAATCTTCACCGAAATCTTTGGTTATTTTTGACTGTCAAAATTATCTCCATTTACCCAAACCAGGCAACCCTGTGTCTTGTTTTCCTTTCTCCTTTCTATCGAGTCCTTTCAAGAATACAGTATTTTCGAATCGATAGAAAACCGGGGGAGTAGAAAATGAGATGTGATTTTCTATTGTAGTCAAGAATCGGGGCACAGATGTCCAACAATTTATTGTAGGACGCGTTTATGGGCTCCTTGATTGTCATAGTTTTCTACTGTTACGTGTCACCGCTCTATTTTGAGGTTATGCTACAAATATCCATTTGCATCAAATTGTTTAAGCTTTTGATTGATATCATCTGTTCAATGGCTTTAAATTTTCATAGTCTTTCTCTCCTTCATAAAGGCTGGGGTATTTCTGTATTTCCACTCTTAGGGTGATAAAAATCAAAAGCATGAACAATTTGATTCAAATATGTATTTGTAACATAACCTCAAAATAGAGCGCCTTTCTGAAGGGCAGGAAAAACTATGAAGATCAAGGAGGCCATAAAGGCGTCCTACAATAATATTTTAGGAACGACTGACGATACGACCCTTAGTCCATCCACAGCCATCTTCAACTAACTTAATTGAAGAAGGCTGTGGTCCGTTTTTACTTTGTATGGAATGCATCAAATTGTGACTTGGGTATTTCTCATGTGTTGGCAACCAGTTATACTCTAACTTCTGGACTTGTCAGTATTGCCACGTTAAAGATCGCGCCTTTTTTTAGATAAGTGATGGTTTTAACATGCCGATTTTGACTTTTGCCAGAACGCGGCCGATATGTGGTTTTATTTAGCGACCGGCCAAACATGGAGGATTACTACTGTACGATGTAATTTTTTAGACGCAGTGGGACTAGGGTTGAGATCCCTAATAGTTGCCACTCGGCCATAAGGCTTATTGTACTCACAGGTATTCAGTAGAGTCTCTTTCTTCTTCATGAACATGAGTCCTTTGGACTATGTGTCCTTGTATTCGCTCCTGATTTATTTTGTAGGAAGTGTTCATAACCGTTAAAGCAATACAATATAACATGATTCGTTCGTCTGACTATGATTCATCTATCCATATTATCTCTTGATCAATAAATGTAACTATAGTGCCGAAGATCTAGTGACATTAAGCAGTCATCGGAAAAGATACATCAGATTACTGTTACGGTGCACAACATCGTTTTTCTTATTTTATAGTTCAAGGCGAATGTGACTTGATCAGTATTTAGGGCCGTATCGTCAGTTGTTCCTACAATTGTAGGATGTCTTCATGGCCTCCTTGATTTTCATAGTTTTCTGATGCTCCGTGTCAGCCCTCTATTTTGAGGTTATGTTACAAATATCTAGCATCAAATTGTTCATGATTTTAATCTATATCGTCTGTTATATCAGCCTCAAATTTCCTACAGTTCAAAAAGAAAGCGTAGCCTCACAATAGGAGAGCGCTGACACGGAACAGTAGAAATCTAAAAATACCCCAGCCTTTCTAAAGGAGAGAAAATACTATGAAAATCAAGGAGGCCATAAGGGCGTCATAAAATTGTAGGAACGACTGACGATACGGCCCTTACTGGTCCATCAGTATTTATTGTGGCGTTTTTCTGGGTTCGTTTTGTGTGGATTCTACAAGAAGAAATACACTAATTTATTTAACTTGACGAACATTTATATACACCTACGTATTTATGTCTGACTAATTCTTATGTCGCCATTGACTGCACTATCCTCCACTCCGATCTGCTCTGGTGTAATCTGTACTCTCTGCTCCCATCTCCCGGCCGCCAAGTTGTACGAGTATATATTCCCAATTGCTGCTTCGAGAAAGGCCGGTTGAACCACAACGCGACATCTAGAATATTGGAGGTCACTTCGCGTCGATCTAGAATCCACTGTCATGGTCCTCACAGACGCCGGCAAGCGGATTGTGCAGTCGTGGTTCGCGTAAAAGCAGAGATCGGCCATTAAGCTCGGGCGAGTAGGAGACTCGCCCAACAGATGGCGCCAACAGAACTATTTGTCACATTATTATGAAACTTGATATTTGTTGGACGTGTAGCCTACTGATGTACTTGTATAAAGTTACGTGGAAATCCACTGACACTGACGGAATAATCAGTAAATACTGGCACGGACCACAGTAAATATTGATCGTGTGACATTCGCCCTTAAAAAGCTGTTGGGACTGCTGAAATATCTCTAAAGTGAGTAATGTAAAATATGTGGTTTCTTTAATCGGCCTGTAGATAATATGGAGATGACTCATCTGTGATCAATAGGGATTATTTGTTTGCAATAGTGCATAGTAGTCATGATCAATTGAAAATATTTTTTTTTGTTCACAGTACCGAGATCTTTAAATTATTATCCAGATCATCCCATACATGTCACAATTCAAGCATTGGTTATCTTACATGTATATCGAAAAAGTCAATGAAATTTCTAACTTTATCCTTTGATGGTCATTACCTAAGTAGAAAAGGCATATGGAACATTTGTACAAAAATATTTCTCATTATGTCTGAATCACAGTTCAATATTAAATCAAATATTCAAAAATAGAAACCTATCGTTTCTATTGTTTATCGCACTTGCACCGTAAAGTGTTTTATATTTAGCTTTTCCTTCTGATTTATTTCTGTAACTTCCATTCTTCAGTCGCTAGACTCGTGATTTGCTTATGCGTGATTTTTAGAATACCTGTACGAACGTCTCAGTAACTATAAAATAGTTCTAAATGCAATGTAAATATTATTTAACCCGATCTCTTCTGAAGAGCAAAGATTTAGAAAAATAAGCAAGTATTGCGTTATTTTTCTCTATCCAGTATCTTTTGACTATCTTATAAGGATCAGTTAATAAACCTATGTAATATCCACACGTCATAGCTTTTTAGCTATCTTTTGTTATATCGTAATTGCGAAAAAACCTTTTTTTGTTTTTGTGGCTGATTATTTTTATTATTCAAATAAATATGTTTTTAAACGTTTGTTTTTTGCATTTAACCCAATTTTTCTACAGGCGACCGGCAGCGACAAAAAATCTTTGCTAAAGTATTATTGGTTGAAAGGGAACAATGGCGTTTCCTTGCGTTTTTGGAGAACTTTGCAACGTCATAAGGTATTTAGCATTAAGTATAATGAATTTTAAAATAAAATATGGTACTAATAAAATTACTATACGTTTGGTCTCATTTTTATTGTTCATGTTTGATCCCGTAACAACTACTTAGATAACAATTCTTTTATCCTTAAATCATTTCTAATTATGGTGCTTTGTACACTTAATATTTCTTGTTGAAGTTTTTTCATATCCTCGGAGAGGTGACCGAGGTTCTCGTACATTGGCTTCATAGATTCGTCATTGAGTCTAAAAAAAAAATAAGTTTCCATAAACCCTACGGCTCGTAATAGGAAATAGAGGTGTGGTTTCCATGACCATTCCAAGAGTATAACTAAATTTTGAAATGGATTACCCAAATTAAAAATTTTACAAAAAAACATGGAATGCCCTGAAATTTTAAAATCGAAAATCTGCAGATATAATTACTTACTTTTTCTTCTTTTTAATCTCGGAATATAATTGTTTTCTAGTACTGGTCCACATCTCCAGTTCTGAATACATAGAATCTATGTCTTCGTGTAAATAGTTCATGAGCTTGCCTAGAGGACTAGTTGTTTTTGTAACATTCTGAATCAGCATACGCAAATGTGATAATTCTTTCGATACTGCATCTTTTACGTGAGCTACAACAAAAAGACCATTCATCAGAGTCGAAGTTATAGCCACAGTGATAGGGTATGCAAGATTTTTTTACAAGCTCTATCCAATTGCGTCATAATATTGTTATACTACATTCTATAGCATAACATACTAGAATAATAAAGTATTTTGAGGGCCATAAATTTAAAACAGTCTTCGCCAACCCGGGTAGCTCGCCAAGGCAATTCTGGTGGCTCACTACATATTTTAAAAAGGTGTAAAAATCATAGAAGCTTCCATACGTTTTGTAAATTCTCATAATAAACACAGGCAGCGGCAACACTGCGGTGAGCGATCTGTACGAGAACGATCTCGATTACTTTGGACGGAATAAATACGCAAGGCGCGGCGACAGTGCGCTCAGTTTAAAACTGAACGGCACAAAGTCCAGCGGTTAGGTTAGAGTTGGCCTGCGATTAAAAACATGAAGATGAAGACCATACGGAATGGGAAGAACAATATTTCTTTACAGAAGTTAAAAGTAAAAACGTATGTTACGTATTACATCTGTTTCCGTTGCTAGAAAAGAAGAGGCGCTATAAAACTGAACATTCGAATTTTGAAAAATCGTTCCCGTTACGTTCTGCAACCTGAACGGAAAAACCTAAAAAATTATAAAATCAGTTAATTGGACAACAGAAAATGTTTATAAAAACAATCCACAAAAGTAAGGCCGCAACTGAAGAATCATACCGGATGTCCCAGATAATTACACAAACGAAGAAACCTTATGAAGACCAAGTCACAAAACTTGAAAATTGGGTGTTTCATTTGTTTTTTTTTTTTGTTTTACAATAAAAATATTCTAAAATTCAAAAATTGATACTCATATGTACATTATTGACGTTATCTCATGCAGTAAGCTTCAAAATAGTTCAAGTTTTGTTAAAAAAACCTTAGTTCATCTCAAAAACTCAATTTACAAGAAACAATCACCTACAAATTTTTCGCTGTTTTGATATTTCTAACGACTTGGCTCTTGTTGGACTTCCGTGTGTGATTCTTTTCCTGACGACCTAGACTGTACCCTGTTTTCTGTGATTCCTTACGAGTTGGCTGCTGTGTGACTTGATTGTTCGTTGATCTACGTATCGATGAACAAAGGAGGCAGCCGTTCAGTTTCGAAGAATATGCCGATATCCTTTTCTACTATGGAGATGCCAGAGGCAATGCTGAAGAAGCTCGTCGTGAGTATGGGGAAATGTTTCGCCTACCTGACGTCCGCGTATTTAGGCAAACGTTCCGTCGGGTTCGAGAGCGCGGTACCGTCGGAAGATATCAAGGTAAGTTTGCATCATTGATGATTATTAACTTATCATATCAGTCATTAAGTAAGGCCTATACACCTTGGGAAAAACATTATTATACATTATGATTAGAAAGAGAGATGGAAATATACAAAAGTATGTAGGTGCGTGAAAGACACTCGATTGTAGGATCCTATGTGGCAGCGTCGGAGTGTGACGGACAACGGGGCAAAGTAGAAGAGTGATAAAAGATAGAGATGGCAGAACGGGCGCTGGCGCCTACCGCTTAGACGGATGCGCTCAACAAATGCGATTTGTTTCTCCCATTCGCAGAGTTGCCGATACCAATATGTCATATTTCTAAGAAATCTAAGTCTACCCAAATTTCTGGAAAAATAGCTGCGGATTCCACATAAGAGTATTCCAAAAATGAAAAAAGTTCAAACTATTAAAATTGTATTAATGTTTCATGGTTCAAATCATATTTTTCATGTTTGTATATTGTTGTATAAATGATTTTGTAATCCCTATTCATATATAATAGTATTGAGAGAAATCATGGACCGCTAGATAGGGCTACAACTACCATATGACTATCAAATAGTAGTGATAAACAGGGTTTGCTTATAGCACAGTTGCCTGGTGTGGCGAATTTGCGCCATAGGGGCGATTTGACAACTTTGAAGGACAACTATAACGGTTACTATGGTGCCCGGTATTCGGGAATCTGGCAATACCTGATGATTCCTAACGTTTATTACGCCAGATTGTTTGCTGACTTGCGCAGTACAACATGTCAATCAACGTGACTGAGCACCTGGTAACCCTGGTTTAAGGTGTTATATTTAAAGAGCTTGGGGCAGTTAGGTATCTAGGTCACATTTTTTAATGTATTTCGAGAAATCCGTAATGTTGAGTAAATACTAGATCACGTTTCTTGCTTAGTTTGCTGAAAATTCTACAATAGACGTACATTTTGAGAAACAGAGATTTGGTGACGACAAAATCGTAAAAATATAACGCATTTTCGTAAAATAATTTCTTTGTTGAAAAGACTGTGGCTTGATGACCCATTGAACGAGTATAGTGTCCCGCTCCGCCTTGAATATTCGAAACACTATACTCCAGCAGCATTCAGCTTCAATGTTATCTTTATGAAGTTCTAACGTCTAGGCCATGCTGATTAAAAGCTTGAATGAATCAACACTTAACTCTAAATTCCCCACAATTCGGGAAGCTCTACTCAAATTGGCAACACAGCGTATCTATTATTCTCATTCCTATTATTCTCATTCGTGATACAGGTCTGCGGTTAACGGTAGGAAATATGTACGAATAGCGATGAAAGTAGACGAGCCGATGCGCTGTTGCCAAGAAATGATTTCCCATGTATAACAATGGTTTTTCCTAAGGTGTATAGAGCCTTGGATGTCTGTGGGCTGAACTGATGATATTGTAACATAGTTGTTTTGATACAGTTGATTGAACTTCTTAATTAAGAGTTTATTCATTTTATTTTAACACGAGCATCTACACGGCTTTGAAGATGGAAACATACACACGTTGTGTATCGTTTTTTTTTTAATAATATTTTGCCAACTTTAGCTCATAGTCTTACCGCTATGTTTATTAGGTAACAATTTCCTCCAAAAAACTGTTGTTGTTTTTTCATTTTATTTCAGGTGATGCAGGTAGTCCTCGACATGATGTGGAAGAAGAAGAAGAAACATTAAATATTTTCCAAAGAGACCCTACTGTCTCTACTCGTGCTGTGGCTCGACGGCTTGGATTATAATAATGACAAGTGTGGTATGTTTTGCATGAAAACATATTCCACCCTTACCACTACACACCTGTGCACATCATAGAGGAAGGAGGCGCATGCAATTATGTCGTTTTATTTTAAACGCTGATGTTGAAGATAGCAATTATTTAAGAAAAATTCTATGGACCGACGAATCAAAATTTGATAACTGTTGGCGTGAACGTGCAGTGGGAAATCCTCATATGAAGAGACCAAAAGGATCTCAAAAGCGATTTTGTCTGAATGTCTGGATGTGCATTATAAATAACTGTTTGGTAGGACCACATTTCCTACCCGACAACTTAAATGGAGAAGCCTACGAACATTTCTTAAGAAATGTTCTATTTGAATTACTTGAAGACGTGCCGCTACACACAAGACACAGAATGATTTTTCAGCATGACGGGTGCCCAGCACATTTCAGACTAAGTGTTAGAAATCGGTTAAATGAGCAGTTTCCGAATCGATGGATCGGTAGAGGCGGACTAATCCCATGGCCAGCACGCAGTCCCGATCTCACACCTATGGACTTTTTTTGTGTGGGGTCGCATGAAAACTTTAGTATACTCTGATCAGAATCCTGTACCCACAATAGAAGACCTCAGAAACAGGATGATACATGCAGCACAAGAAATTCAAGCATCTCTTAGGAATTCGGCGGTAGTAAAATCAGGTGTCAAAAGAAGAGCACGTGTGTGCATTAGAAATAGAGGGCGCCATATTGAAAATGTATTATATAAATAAAAAATGTAGTTTCAAACAAATTATCCTGTATTAAGGTATGATTTTGTAAGTGTAGTATTTTTATTGCTTTTCCCTTCCTCCTCTTATAAAAGTCATATTTTTGCCAATTCTTAATCGATTTGTGATTTTTATACCTCATTTGAAAGGTAATGAAACGTAGATGTTTTCTAATTATTTTGTACGAAAAATTAGTATGCGACTTTTTCTAGTAAAACTGAAGCTTTTGAGATGAACGAAGATTTTTTTAACAAAAATAGAACTATTTTGACCCTTACTGCATGAGATAATGTACATTTGAGTATCAATTTTTGTATTTTAGAATATTTTTATTGTAAAACCAAAATAAAATCGCGTGAAATACCCAATTTTCAAGTTTTATGACTTGGTTAACGTATAAAGGACGTTAATTTTATAAAATCTTAAAAATTAGTATAATTCGAAAACGGCTAATTTTCGGACAGTAGTTCCTATAGTAAAATCGACTCAGATTGGCTTGTACTATCTCCCCCCACCGGCTCCGCATCTATTTTCCCGTCACCCTGTATATCCATTTCACGCTTTAAAAAATTGAAATATATTTATTTCGTTTTCCTAAGCCAAATACTGTAAGAAATACTCATTTATTCTTTGAAATCAAGTAGCCTACTATACACATATCTTACAATCGTACTCCCAGTCTATTTCAATTTTCTTCTTTCCTTCATCCTCTTGTATCTGTTCTAAGATCTGTTCAACGAGATGACCTTTGTTGTCTAATGGTATTTCGACATTCGGCTGCTGCTCTTCCTGAAATAAAAATTCTTATTTGAAACTGAAATATTCTGACCAGGAGAGTCCAAAGAGCTAGAACTAGAGTACCATATCCACAGAAATTTCTCGCGTTAATACCCTATACTGGCGCCTAAGCTGGAATACACAGCAAGCGTATGGCATCCGTATTTTCAGATCCATACTAATGAGATGCAGAGTTTGCAGAGGAGATTTCTTAAGTACTTGACATTCAAATTAGATGGTGCTTACCCCCCAGTCGTGGGACTGACCAATCAGCGAGTTAGTGAGATTTGACATGCATCCTCTTGAGCTGAGGAGAATTTGTAATAGCTTTAAATTCCTTTATAAACTCGTACAGTGAAGTAGATTAACCAGCTTTATTAGCGAAAATTGAACTTCATGTCCCATCCCGAATTTCCGGAAGCTTTTTACTTGAAAACACCAAACTCAAAGTTATGATTTCCAGCTTTAACGTTACAACAGATAATTGTAACATTCATCACGGTAGAGTCAGATATGGTGGATGAATTCAGTAAATACTATTTATTTAATTTATATCATTTAACACTTTCATCGCGCCAGGCTCCTCTAGTGGCACCAATAGTTTAAATCATATTAGCAAATTTCCCCAAAATAATTGTAAAGTCTGGTTTTATTTTTGCAAATTATTCAAGTGGGCATTTAAAACATGTACACATAAAATGGGTACACCGATTTTTGTGGGAAAACTTTTATTCGACAACAAAGAATCAGAAAACGTGTTTTGGTGTACCCATTTTATACGTCCATGTTTTAAATACTCTCTTGAACAACTTGCAGCAATAAAACCAAACTTTACAATTATTTCGCAAACCAGGGGTATTTTCGTCTAATATGATTAGACTACAACCCACCTAGCGTGTTTTGTGTATTTATTCACTAAAGCAAGCACGTCCTATTCTTGTAAAGGTAAACGTCAGGAATTTTCATGAAAGTGACAGAGTTTTAAAAATACTATCTCCACTTTTGTCTATTTTTTTGTATATCAGTATATTATGTTTTATCTATGTTTTTAAAAAGCAAAAATTAGAATGAGACGTCACGAATTTCATGAAAGTAACTTGTCTTAGTAATACAGGTTTCACTTTTGTTTATCATTTGTATTTTTGTGTTTTATGTAAATTTTGTTTGCAAATGGTACATTCTTGTATTTGAGAGAGGTTTGACGACACCCAACGTGGGAAGCGATCATTATTTGGTACTTGGTAAAATTAGATTCAATGAAAGATGGAGAGAGAAGAATAAACAAACGAATTCAGAGGAAATAATAAAAATTAGAAAATTCAAGAGCTGACCCCCTAAAATCATTAGGTATATCAAAAAAGCGAGAACAGAAGATAAAAATAGAAAATATCGAAAATGAAAGCAATGTAGAAACTAGCTGGAAAAACTTAAGAAAAACATTCTGGACGAGAAGCCCTTGGAACGAACATAATAAACAAAAACAAAAAGTGGTCAACGAAAGCACCATGGTTTACACTAGAGGTTAACAAAAATATCAAAAAAAAGAAAGCTTTCCTAAAATATAAGTCAGATAAAACCAATGAATCATATGAAGGATATAAAAGGATAAGAACTGAAAATCATCAATTGGTAAGAAAAACAAAAACAGATTACTGGAAAAGATTCACAAGGACTAGAGATAAGACAAAGAAGCGAAATGAAAGAACTAGTTGAAATAGAACACATAAAAGAGGATACATGGGTGGCCTTCCTGACAGAAATGTTTAAAAAAGAAAACGAAGAATCTTTACCAGAAACACCAAATATAATAACTGATGGAAAGACCGAAATCTCCCAAGAAGATGTGAAACAAGGAATAAATAAATTAAAAAATACAAAGTCACCAGGAGAAGATCAAATACCAAATGAACTCTTTAAATATGTAGGTGATTACCGTGTACAACAACTGCAACTCCTTGTTCAAAAAACAATCACCACGAACAGAATACCAGATGAATGGAGGAGAGCGATCATGCTCATGTTCTTCAAGAAAGTAGATAACTTTTTTTGTTATTTTTATATGTACTTTCTACCCTAGAAATATTGGCAGGTCTTTCTGAAAGGCCTTGTATAAAACTGATTTTTTATGAGTTCAGATGTACTCGTAGAATGAACGAGCAATTCTACCGTACCAAACAAAAAATTCTATTCTGGACAGTCGCATGCGTTCAATTTGGAGTACACTACTTACGACAACTCTTCAACAGATTCTGATACCTACATGTACTCGCATTAAAACAGCAAACTTGTAAACTGTGAACTGAAATTCAGTAGCGTATCAGAATTATTTTCATCAAATATTGATAAATTTACTCATTTCTTAGCTGATTTGAAATGTCATAATCATTAGTAGCTATATCGATTGGTACGTTCCGATTATAATCCTTAATTATACTCTATGCAAAACAAATCGAACAAAAGCCTCGCAAAATTCCGATCACTCGTGATGAAAAAGTAAGCAGCGATACACGTAGTGAGCATTTGGAGCCAATAAAGATTTGAATTTGAATAAGAATTTGAACTAGGAAAGGGGTGGATCGGACAGTAACAATATCTGTAAATCGAAAAACGATTTTAAATATGATATACAGGGTGCCCTCAAAGTTGAGACTTTCCTTTACAGGCAGTAATAAGCACGTTTTTTAGTAACATATACAGAGTGTCCCAACAAAAATGGAAAGTAGTTTTTTGAGCAAAATGGAAAATATATCAAAGATCTGTTTTCGTGGCAACCTTGATTTGTTACTAGTGCATATTTTAAAAGTATATTAATGTACACAGAATGTTCCATAACTTGGTTCCATAGCAAACATGTATTGTCAGATAGAATATCCTAATTTTATTGCATATTTGGATAGACCTTATAAAAACAAGAAGTTTGATATCATATAACATATGGTTTTGGTTGTCAATTGTTCAGATATTTGGTGAGATGTTTGAAAAACTGCCCAACTTTAACGGCTCGCAGCTCCGTTATTTAGATAAAGTTTAATTAACAAAAAATTTAGTATCATCGATTTTCAGCTGATCTGCAAAAAGTGCTGAAATTTCTTTCTATTTATTTCTTAAAACGCGAAATGTACCTTTTCTCAAAAATTTCAAATGGAACACCCTGTATATTTCTATAACGTTAAATAGTTTTTTGTGAACTTTTTTGATATAACGTTTATAGAACTGTCGTCCAAACGTTTTTGAGTTATTGCTATTAATTACAAGAAAACCAAATACATCTTTTATTTAAACATCAAATCAAATCTTCTATCAAAACAATATTATTTATTAACACTAGGAACTATCTAGGCAGCATGTTGACATTTTGCCGGTTCTTTTATGTTTTTTAGGTTTTTTTACGTAATATTTCTGCCGGTAGCATTATGTATGATGTAATACCTACAATATTGCATAATAAGACATTATTGAAGAGGGTATATAGCCAAGCACTATTAGTGGCAGGCAGTACTTTGATACTGTTGACATATACGCATGCGCAGTTTGTGTCAATTAGGATCGCCAGTAATGAAAATAGCGGCTGCCTCTAATTAGGGAGGAATAAAAACTCCCTTATTAGACGTTCTTGACTACTTTGACATTCCTCACAGATGTCAACACTTTAAAACTCACTTTTTCAAGTTGATGGTTGTGTTTTGGTTTGTTTTGTTATTTGATTTGGATTCTCATCTTCCCATCTAATTTTTGTTTTCAAACTTCTGGTGGCGGTTTGTGCTATTTGTACCAGTTGGATACAACGTGTAGATATAAATAGATTATTAAAATTGATGAGCTGACAGGTGTCAGTGAGCGACATACGACGCTTAGGGCCGTGGCTAACCATGAAATCAATAAATTAATGTATTTTATCTCGCATTTTTGGCAGGCACAGTGGCCAAAATATTGGCTGGCCCTATTAATTTCTGGCCTTATGAAGTGAGCCAATAAATCCCTAATAAAGAAAGCCTACCTTCAGCTATATGACAGATACTAACTGTCATTTTACTCACCTCTTCCTTCACGTCGACATTCTCCACAACCACCGTATCGTCGTCGTCCTGAGTGTCAACATTCTCCACGATGACTTTGACACCGCCCATCGCCACCGGCTCCTTCATGGGCAGCGCGGAGTCGGGACGCAACCTCGGTGCGCCGGGTCGAGCGCTGGACGGACGCACGCTGGGTGGTCGTAAACTGCTTCTCGGCCGAGCGGTAGGATCGATCGTTCGAACGGCTGGCTCCAAGTTTGTCGTGCCTGTTGCGAATACGTGTGTAATCAAAAATGGGCTCTTATTATACTTGAACGACCACAAAGGTCTGCCTAAACATCCACGGGTACCGTGGGGCTATGGGGGATACATGGGGAAGGGAGGCGCCACACGAGGGAACACGTGTGCATGCAAGATGCACACATTCTGCCCCCGCCTTAGAGATACATAGCCAAATGAAATACTTCCCTTGGGATGGGCTCTGGTTTACATACTACTAGCAAATCAATCGATAAGACGACGAAGAAACAGGCACGGGTCCAGGATCACTTCTTGCAGGGAGGATAGTATGGGTTGCTTACTTTCAGGGGGTATTGTCAAGCCGTTTATACTTATTATAAAGTAATTAAGAAGGACAGTAATAAATAGTAGTGTAAGAACAGTATGCACAGTTAGTTTCATAAATCAAGTGGTTTCTCATTCTTCCCCCTTTCCTCATTTTTTCCTGTAAGTCTGAGGTCTTGGAGGCGCAATAGCACGCTTGCCCCACCCTGGATCCGCGCCTGCTTGGAAAGTATTATGTCGGCTAAACTTGCACGTCCATTGAGGGGAAGAAGCGCGTCACTTCGCCCGGTCCAAGAATACAGAGTTTCCGGCACGGGTATTACGTATCTTGAAAATTGACGTTATATCGATTTTTTTGACATTATACTGGGTTTTTTGACATTATGTGGGTTTTTCTACAGGATGTTAACTTAGCACTTAGTTGTACGTGTGGCGTAAACGTCATGAAGCTTCAGTTATCAAAGTTTGGGTCAGATGTGTTGTAAAATCTGCTTCAGAGATGGCATTACTGGAGGTCTAAGCTATAAGTTGTATGCGTTGATGATAATTCCGTTGGATTCTTGTCTCAAATACACTTAATTGAGATTCAAAGCTAGAAATTAGTTGCGCATTCACTTTTTATTATCTATTCTGGAAATTACATATTATGCAAATTTACTGAATTTCAACAATGAGAGAGATAAGAAATAATTATATTCACTGTACACTGTCGAATTACAAGCCATATACTTGCTAACAGTAATTACACATAACGCGGGCGAGGTGATGATTTCCCGTAATGATCCTCAAAGTTTTTCATAATTTATGACTTTGAACATAACCTGTCTTCAGAAAGGACAACATATAAATAACCCGTCGAGCACCGCTAATAGATACCTGTATACTTCATTGGCAGCATATTCAGTAATGATTTTCTCACACAGCAAATATCACTGATTTTATACACATCCAGACCAATACACATAATCATCCAGATATCTAGATCCGATCTTGCTATCCAAGCAACTTTCTTTTCAGAGATAAAAGCTACAGACATAGACCACTCGGCCTCACAGAACATATGCAACCAACAATGCGTGTAGTTTAGTTGAATGATTCCTCCATAGATGGACGTTCACAACGATCCTAGTGCGCAAACGTGGAATGACTGATTGCACCCTAAAAACTATCTAGTCTGCAAGATGACATCTTATAGGTTTTTTTTACGTTTTATAGGTTTTTTACATGATACCCGTGCGGTAGAAGGGGCACTCGCGAAAAAACCTTTGATTTTCGAACTTTCAAAGATGCCGATATTTTTCCTAGAATTCGGATCCTTTTGTTACTGTGTTTATACAGGGTGATACATGTCATTATTTTCATGGCGTAGACCAGGGCTGTCCAACTTAATGTGGCCCAAGGGCCACTTCAAAAAAAATGCAGTTTGGAGGGCCGCATTATAAAATCTTTCTATACAACATTATTACAGAGTTAATGTAAGAATTGTGCAAATTCGGTATTTGAGAGTAATTTATGCATGTGATGTATACATGACCCGTGAAGCGGGCCGCAAGAAAGGAGTTCGCGGGCCGCATGTGGCCCGCGGGCCGTATGTTGGACAGCCCTGACAATAGATGATAAATATCATTTGCCCAAAAAATGTTGCGACTTGATAAATAGTAGTATTTACCATATACGTAGTGGACTGGCGATTCTCCACAACGGTCTGTCTTCTTTGTCATTGCGTAATCTCAGTAATCACTGTGCCGTTTTTGTCAAAACTTGTAATATACTGTATGGTCAAAAATTTTTAAAACCTGGTTTTCTTAATATTGTTCATATTTTCCAGACTTTTGTTGTATGAAACTATTTTCAGAAACATACTACCGCTTGCAGGAACGTATGCAGTCATCATGCATCTCCATAAAGTCAAGAATGTTTAATAGTTAATATAGCCATTTATATTTGCTAGACATTATTTGTTGTCCTTGGCCTAATAGTGTCCTTGTACTAAAATTACATTGAAACCTGGCTTACGGTTCTGGAATAAAGGAGCCAACTTCAAGATTATTTCTATGGCTCATTATTTTTAACAAATCTTATGGAATCTATACTTTTTGAATCAAATTTGTCATACCTCGTTTTTGACGCTGTGCACTCATGAATCACAGGTAAATGTTGGGGGGATATTCTTCGTCAATTACACGTCGACCTGAGCTCCTTTATAAAAAAAACGGATTCCAAATATCTTGTAATAACAAGACTTGCCTAATGAAACATCGGCACCCCATTCCATCATTTGTTTTACATCCAGCCACGCCACACCACCGTGTCCTCATGAATCGCCCTGTACAATACATACAATAGCCACGCGACTTCCGAATTGCTTCCGACCGTATCGGATGCCGGCCATCGACTACCTGGTTATAGTTTGGAGTACTTTTTTTATTTGTTGTGTCATGCTCAGAAAAATATTGTGTTTCTGTTTTTTGCATAATCTTATTAAAAAATGTCACTTTCAAGGAATATGCATGTTCCCAGGCCTAAAATTGCGTCGAGCAATGTGTTTAGATGTTGCGAAATACTCAGAGAGTTACAACGCACATTTTAAATTTGAATATTTTTCAACAACAATCCTTAAATTAATTTTTGGCTCAATTTAAAATTCCAGAAAACCAGAAAACCGCCTTTGAGGATAATAATTACTATTTCCAGTTATGGATCAACGTGCAGAAATCACTTCGAAAATCTAGAAATACTACCACTTCCATCAATGCATATTTTTGAAGTCATATGTTATCATCGGCACCGGTATCACGTATCTTGAAAAGTGACATTATGCCGATTTTTTTTGACATTATGCTTTTTTTTACTCAGTGTAGGTTTTTCTACAAGATGTTAACTTAACACTTAGTTGTACGTGTTGCCTAAACGTCATGAGGCTTGTTATCAATCTTTGGCTCTGATGTGATGTAAAATCTGCTTCTGAGATGGCATTACTGGAGGTCTAAGCTGTAAGTTGTATGTGTTGATAATAATTACATTGGGTTCTTATCTCAAATACACTTAATTGAGATTCAAAGCTAGAAATTACTTGCGCATCCACTTTTTCTTATCCATCCTGGAAATTACATATACAAATTTGCTGAATTTAAAAAATGATAGAGATAAGAAATAATTATACTCACTGTACACTGTCGAATTACAAGCCATATACATATATAGTTGATGACTTCCCGTAATTCTCCTCAAAGTTTTTCATAATTTATAACCCGTCTGGCATAGCTAATAGATATACTTCGTTGGCAGCATATTCAGTAATGATTTTCTCACACAGCAAATATCACTGATTTTATACACATGCAGACCAATACACATAATCATCCAGATGTGATCTTGCTATTCAACCAACTTTCTTTTCAGAGATAAAAACTACAGACAAGGACCATTTGGCCTCACAAAACATAGGCAACCAATAATGCGTTTAGTTTAGTTGAGTGATTCCTCCCTAGATGGACGTTCACAACGATCCTAGTGAGCAAACGTAGAATAAAGCATCCCACAAACCGGCGCGAAATAATCGCGGCGAAGAATTCGCAACGAAATTCAGAGCGAAATTCGCAATCTGTTTCGCCTGTTTATTCATACCAAAGCGTCTTATTCGCTCCGCGAACGTGAAGGTTTCGACAGGTTGCGTACATTTTATTTTTGCCTTTTGCAATGAGCTCGTCTTCAGAAGAAGAGGAGGCACTTCTATTTCTTGCTTTAGAAGAGGAACAAAATGCACGGTAAGTTATGTTTATTTAACGCCATTTGATAGTTGGGTATGTATTGAGTTTAACGAAGTACATAAAACAAATATTTTCAATTTTGTTTAGGAAACGAAGGAAGTGGGTACATGATATTAACTTGGAATGAAATAAATTTGGGGATTCCATACCTTGATGCCACAACTTCGGCTGGATGAACAGCGCTTTTACGTATATTTTAGAATGACTCCAGAGTGTTTCGATGAAATATTGAACTTGGTGAAAGATGAAATACGAAAATCTGACACAAATTATCGTGAAGCTATTTCGCCAGAAGAACGACTTGCTATTACACTCAGGTAAAAAAATTATATTTATTAAAATTAGTAGGCTTATCGAATACGAAAACTTCAGGGATCGTGAAATAAATATTTTATTGTAATAATTGGACTACATGTTGCCACTAGGATTAAATGTTGCTAAATAATTCGAGGCAGAATTTGCCTCCTCTGTTGGGTATATTATTGGAGTAAACCCAGTGCCGCTTGGGAAGGACGACATACTACTATCATACATACTTGCAGAATTCTGGGTAGACGCTGAAGACATTTCTTCAATATGTTCAAATTCTTCGTGCGCTATTAATTCGGCTATTTTTAGTTTTATTCGGGCTTGACGCTTTAAGGGAAGTGTTTTCACAGTCTGTGCATGTGCCAAGAAAAGTGAATCAATGGCCTCGTTCTCTTTTTTAGGTTTTTTACCTTCAAAATAATTAATGAGCCGTTGTACAGACGAAGATGGTGGTTCATAGCGTTTTCTGCTCGTTTTATATTTTGGTGTAGTTGCAGTCTGCGGAAAGGTGTGCCCTGGAGTAGTCACTGCTGTAGTGTTCAATGAAGAAGGTGGTGCTGTCTGTGTTGCCGAGGCGTTCTGTGCATCTTCTGCATCTACATCAGCATTTTCATCTTCTCCAT